ATGACTCGACTAAATGAAATCCCCGACCGAGTGCAGGAGTGGAAGAAGTCTGCTGCTTGGTGTGGCGCTGACGTGGCTCTGTCTTTGGTTCGTGTCCACCGCAAGGAGGTGCGACAGGACAAACTGGCAGCAATCAAGGTCGCCAACACCCAGAAGCATGACTTCCGAACCTTTATGGAGACTTTCATCGCTGCAGCCACTCGGATAGCCGACGGCGTCAACCTAGATGAGTTCGTCGAGCCTGCCAGCCCTCCTCCCGCGGAGTGAACAAACTCTTATGTCCCACCTTAAATTTGCCTCAGAATGCCGAGTGGTTTTTGTAACCGTTAAACTTTTTCGGGCTGCATGCCCGAGTACTTCGATCTGTGATCTGGAACCTTTAGAATTTACCTGAACTTGGTTTACCGTTGAATATCTTTATGAATCTCCTACTGAGTGAACCCATTCTTCATTCGAGACAACCTTTGTATTCGCAGCGCAGCTCCGAAGGAGAGGGAAGCAGTTGACCCATGTCTTGTATTTGTGGCTAAGCTCCCCAGGGAAGGCGGCGGTCGACCCACACGCCGTTACTGCAGAGTGGACGGAGCGCACATTGTATTTGTGACGAAGCTCTCCAAGAGAAGGTGGCAGTCGACCCGCACTTCGTTACTATAGAGCGGGATGAATCGCGCATTGTATTTGTGGCGAAGCTCCCCAAGAGAAGGTGGCAGTCGACTTGACCCTTGTCGTCCTCGAGAATTGGTATGTGTTTCGTACTTAGGCGAGTTCTGGACTGCAGCTAAGCCCCCGAGTGGGAGGATTGCCCTCCGCTCGGTAGGATTTTTTCAAACTTAGGAGAGTGCCAGACTGCAGCTAAGTCTCTAAGTGAGAGAACTTAGGCGAGTACTAGACTGCAGCTAAGCCCCCGATGGGAGGATTGCTCTCCACTCGGTAGGATTTTTTCAAACTTAGGCGAGTGCCGGACTGCAGCTAAGTCTCTAAGTGAGAGAACTTAGGTGAGTACTGGACTGC